AGGAGGGGATGGAAGGGGATGAGAGGAGGGGATGGGAGGGGTGAGATAGGAGGGGATGAGATAGGAGGGGATGGAAGGGATGGGATGGGTGGGGGTGAGATAGGAGGGGATGAGATAGGAGGGGATGAGATAGGAGGGGATGAGATAGGAGGGGATGGAAGGGGATGAGAGGAGGGGATGGGAGGGGAGGGGTGAGATGGGATGGGAGGCTATAGAAATGTTCCTTGAATATTTCAATAACATGGTATGGGAAAAGTCACTGATTTTTCATTACACTGCCCCACACACACTTTTACAATAGCAATTGATTTACTAACAGATTTCAATGTTGAGCCTAAACAAATGTCAATCATTTATTGATTTGACTAAACAAATTTCACCTTGACTATCTCTCAGCTAGTTTAGTTAACATTGGCGTAGATGGCATAAACATTGGAGCGATCTGTGAAGACTTCAATGTCAACATTGGGACCTGTGTGCAAGTAGTGGACGGGAACGAACTTGTCCAGGCCATGCCACCTGTACATCACAGACAGCAGTTGTTCGCCCGTGCCGCTGTTCTCTGCATTGGACACCATCAGGTAGTGGTCGGTGCCGATGTTCAGGTATTCCCAGTCGACAGTGCTGTGTTTGAGAGAAAAATATTTTATAGATCAGCTTTTCACCACTGAGTTTATATGGACAGGGGGGGGGGAAGCATTCAGACTGAAGCAATATAATGATTTAATTTTTAATAAGAAAAATAATAAGAAAAATATTTTATCAGAAAGTTAACGAGAATTTTAGTGTTAGAAGATTTGGACTTGATATCACTGGCTAATGAAATGTAAGAAGACTGACTGGATATCACTAACTAATGAAATGTAAGAAGATTGACTGGATATCACTGACTAATGAAATGTAAGAAGACTGACTGGATATCACTGACTAATGAAATGTAAGAAGACTGACTGGATATCACTGACTAATGAAATGTAAGAAGACTGACTGGATATCACTGACTAATGAAATGTAAGAAGATTTTGACTTGATTTCACTGACTAATGAAATGTAAGAAGATTTTGACTTGATTTCACTGACTAATGAAGTGTAAGAAGATTTTGACTTGATTTCACTGACTAATGAAGTGTAGTTCAAAAATTAAAAAATTATTCTATAAGTCAATGTGGGCTTTATAGAGTGAGGAGTTACCACACCAGATGCCTGGTTTTTTGTGTTTGAAAAATTGCTTTAGATATGCCTTACAGATTTTAATTAGAACATTTACTGTCTGTGCTTTTATTTGTTATGCTGAGATGACTAGTGTAAGCTAAACACAACAATTTGATTCAATAAAAGAATCTTATCTTATAATTCTGAGATTCTGTCCAATGATAAACAAAAAATATATTAAACAAAAAATTAAAAATTAAGCGACAATCAATTAATGATATTCTCAACAAAAAATTATTTTTTTTAGATTCTTGATTTACCCGTTAGTGTTCATTACTCTGGTATTTTGTGAAAACATTTTTACTTCTGTCCAGTTTGTAAATGGTGGAGTTGGTCCGGTAGCTGTCAATCTCTTGAAAGTTTTGGCTGCCAAAATTGAAGGCATTGGCCACAACAAGGTAATGGTCCGCACCAATTCTAAAATATTACCAATCTGTAGCTCCGACTATCTGGAGGGTTAATACTCAATTTCTTAAATATTTCTTAAATTACACTGTTATAAATTGACAGATAATTTATTGATTGATTCTCTTATTTCCTAATGCTTTGAGAGGGCATGTTAATATGATTTTTTAAAAGTATTTAGCCCGTATTTTATATTTGATATATATTTTATATGTATTATATATATTTTATATTTTATATATATTTTATATATATTTATAAATATTATGTATATAGATAAATAAATATATACATTTATAAATAAATAATATATATTTTATATATAGTTATATATATTTTATATTGTATATATATTTATAGATTTTTTATATTTAATATATATTTTATGTCTTCACAAAGTTTCAGTTGTTTAAACGGTTGATGGTTCCCAGAAAACCGAACCCATAGACAAGTGAACCCACGGACAAGTTAACCCACGGACAAGTGAACCCACAGACAAGTGAACCCACAGACAAGTGAACCCACAGACAAGTGAACCCACGGACAAGTGAACCCACAGACAAGTGAACCCACAGACAAGTGAACCCACAGACAAGTGAACCCACAGACAATTGAACCCACAGACAAGTGAACCCACAGACAAGTGAACCCACAGACAAGTGAACTCATAGACAAGGGAACCCACAGACAAGTGAACCCATGTCAAGTGAACCCACGGACAAGTGAACTCACAGACAAGTGAACCCATAGACAACCGAACGCTGAGGAAACAGTGATGAGCTTTCAACGCCAAGACAGTGATGAGCTTTTAGCTCCAAAACAGTGATGAGCTTTCAACTGCAAAACAGTGATGAGCTTTTAGCTCCAAAACAGTGATGAGCTTTTAGTTCCAAAGTAGTGATGAACCTTTAGCTCCAAAACAGTGGTTTGGCAGACTGGACAAGATGTGATGAAGTTAACTCCTAACCATTTTTGTGACAGCAGGCCGGTGCGAGTAGTGATGAACAAGTGAACCCACAGACAAGTGAACTCATAGACAAGGGAACCCACAGACAAGTGAACCCATGTCAAGTGAACCCACGGACAAGTGAACCCACAGACAAGTGAACCCACAGACAAGTGAACCCACAGACAAGTGAACCCATAGACAACCAAACGCTGAGGAAACTGATGAGCTTTCAACGCCAAGACAGTGATGAGCTTTTAGCTCCAAAACAGTGATGAGCTTTCAACTGCAAAACAGTGATGAGCTTTTAGCTCCAAAACAGTGATGAGCTTTTAGCTCCAAAGTAGTGATGAACTTTTAGCTCCAAAACAGTGGTTTGGCAGACTGGACAAGATGTGATGAAGTTAACTCCTAACCATTTTTGTGACAGCAGGCCGGTGCGAGTAGTGATGAACTTACCTCCATTGTCTGAAACTCCACCCATTTGTCCCCCTGCCAGATGTAGAGGACCGAGAAGGCCAGAGTGCTTTCGCCAGTGAAAGCGTTGGCCACCACAAGGAAATGGTAGTCGTCCACGGTAAAATGTGTCCAGTCGTAGGCACCAATGGTTGGCAGGGGTTGGTGCTCCAAGAACTCTCTGTGCTACCAGGACCATTTGTATACAACAGAATCTATTAGGCTGTTGCCATCTGTAGATAGAAGTAATTCTTTTAGAATCTATCTATCTTACTATCTTTATTGAGAAAGTGAGACTTCAATATTTGACCGGCAAAACAATTTTTTGACAAGTGAGACGCAAACAATTTGTCTAAATAAAACAATATAAGTTCAGCTTTAATAATGACTAAACAGAATACAAATTTATATGTTTCTGCAAATGCCTTCATCAGTATAACAACAACGAAAAAAAAAAAAAATTCATATAAGTATACATTAAATTGTCATAATATAATACTGTATATACATGTATCCCAATTAAAAAGAAAAGACAAGAATACGAGTGGGCAAAAGTCCCTGACACAAACAAAGCTCAGAAGAACAGAAACGAAATGGGTGGAAGTAAAATTTAAAAACCCCCCAAATTTTTTTATTTTTCACTTAAAGCTGAAGCTAATTAATTGAGCCAATTATTGTTTAATGCCCCACTACACTAAAAAACTTATATAAAAATTAGCAGCAGCTTTGTGAGGAAAAGTGTTGATGCTAAATATGATTATACTAGATTAGATGGCTATAATATAGCTTTTATTGTCATATTAGATAGGCTATAACATAGCTTCAATTACTAAATTAAAAGGTTGTAATATAGCTTCTATAATTATATTAGAAGGTATATGACATAGCTACATTTACCATATCATATGGGATATAATATAGCTTACATCTTCAATTGTAGTTTAAAAAAAAATTAATATCCAAATGTTTTTCATGGATAGCAAGAAACCCCAATGACATGAACCCCTCGGAACACATCAGTTTACAAATCCGTTGGATCCATCCATTGTGAATGTAATTATATTTCATTTGCTAAAATTTAGCATCAAACAAAATGAAACAATCATAATAAAACTATTTGTGAGAGAATGAAGTCGTTGACCTAATTAATATCTTTTACATAAATTCAAAAATTGATTACTTTGAGCATGATTGGCAATGGCCAGATAATAGTCACCATTTATTTCAAAGGCCTCAATGTCCCTTGCCGTGTAGGTCTGGATGTTTTGGTAGACGACAAACTTGCGAGATTTCTTGTTCCACTTAAAAATTGTGGAATTAGACGGGACAGATTTCAAGGATCCATAATTTGCCACTGCAAGGAAAAACTGAAATTCAAATTGTGCAAAAAAATCAAACTGTGTCAGTTTTAAAAAAAAATACTTTTGTCAGAATATAAAATGATTAATTCTGTTTGGAATGTCATTAATTAATGGAGCACAGTGAGTTTAAATGTGATATTCTTGTAACAGAATTATATTCATTTTATTTACTCTAATAATGAGCTGATTTAGCTGAATGCCTCAACAAGAACAGAGTTTAAATACAGTCAGTGATCTACAAGAGGGGGATCTACTGGTGGGATCTACAGGTGGGGATCTACAGGCAGGGATTTACCAGCAGTGATCTACAGGCAGTGATCTACAGGCAGTGATCTACAGGCAGTGAGTATCTACAGGTGGGAATCTACAGGTGGGGATCTACTGGAGGGTATCTACAGGCAGGGATCTACATGAAGGGATCTACAGTAAGGATCTTCAGGTGGGGATCTCCTCCCTTCTCATTTATCAATAACAATTTGTTTAATTAAATGAAAAACAAACAATTCACAAAAACATAACACTGCCAAGACCAATGTCTCAACACTTAAGAGAGAGCTATAGTTTTTAGGGCAGTGTTTTTTTTAATTTTGGGCATCTGACTTTAGTGTCAAAGTTCTGAGTGATCAGCTAGGCTGAATTATCAACATACTGGTCACAAGTTTATGCATTATGCCACTTATCAAAATCCAAGCCACATATTTTTAAAAATATTAGATCATGTGCCACCAGCTGTGGACATATTGAAAAGCAGTCATCGCTTAATCTGATTTTCTAGTAGATTTTAATAAACAATTGACAAATTTAACTGCATTGACACTACTACTCACCTGGCTATGGATAGAGAAAAATTCCCAGGACTGGGCTGACTGGGTGGGCAGCCACTGGTAGAATGTGAACTGACCATTGACCCACTGATACATCCTTGACCTTAAACAAATAAACAATGCTGAAATTGAAGTCAAAATCTGTTTTAAATTTAAATTACAATATTTCTAAGATTGTTTCACTTTACAAGCTAAACATTTTTAATTATTTTCAATATTAAAAATAAGTTACATAAGGATTTCTCAACCTGTAACCCAGGCGCCTCCCTAGGGTATTTGTCATCCATGGCAATTTGATTTAGCTATTGTTCAATTTTAGGGTAACTTTTAAAGACTTTGTAGTGCATAATTAGGATGCCTGTTTAATGCCCTGCAAGTAAAATTCAAATTCATATTTTATTTGTTTCATCATTCCAAGGCTCGATCCAATTTCAGTGATAGTTACACAGTCCAAACAGTTTAGAATTTCTCATAATGCCAATTTCAATGATAGTTATACAGCCCAAACAATATAGAATTTCTCTTCTATAGTTCTCACTTAATCAATTGTGACAAGATCAAATATTCTCTTCTTTATGAAACATAATTTTTAAAAAAAATTATTAATGAGATTGCCTATTATTCTCAATGAGTTCATTCACTCTATCTGCTTGACATGATTTCTTAATCTTATGAAACAAAACATGTCTCCAACTTATCAAATTAATTTTAAAATTACCGCAGTGAACTTTGATCCCTGGCATCTGTCAAGGCAAACACAGCAAATTTCCCCTCTCCAGGTAGGTCAAAAACTTCAACATCTAAAGACCCTTGTCCGGTATCCAAGACCTGGTGAGGCACCAGATAGTCCAGTCGCCTTTTATCTGAACATCAGTTATTGAATCATCAGATTGGATACAACAGACTAGCTTTATTTTGATGCTGATCTTTTTGATATAGAATATTTCTTGTTTTTTTGTTTTTAAAGGGACTTTTATGATTGACCTCTATAAATAAATAATTAAAACAATACTGATGCTAAATAACTTTGAATTATGTATAATATTCCCCGGTATAAATACAACTTCGGTAAAGGTCATAATGTTACCAGTTGACAACTTACAGAATGAATACTATGGACACCTTGTCAACATGGCTGTCCATGTTTACCTTAATAAACTTACCTGACTTGACCTTAATGTCGCGCCACACTCCATTGACACACACCTTCAATTTACCAGCATGGACATCAAAAGCAATGTTGCCCACATCTGACCACTCACAGACTCCCCGCCCTGACTGGTGGTATGTTAGAGATGACAGACCTGAACACACAGGAGAACAATCAAATTGGTTAATGACAAAATAATGATATACTTTTCCTCATGTCATAAAACTTAAACATTCATAAGCTTGATGAACTGACTCTATTCAACAACACAACATGGAAAAACACAAATTATTTTTGTTATAAGAAGTGGGACAACTTTCATATCCATACTGAAAATTTTAAAAAAATGTTATTCCCCTTGCCTGGATGAACACTTAAAATCAGTTCAGTAGACAGAAAAAAAAAAATAAAAAAAAATAAGAGTGAATTAAAATTAAAGTTATGATTTGGTAATACCAAAACTGAGAAAGGTGAGTTGGTGGAGCAAAGAGAAGGGACAGTAATGGGACAGTGCAGGGACCATGAAATCACTAAAAACAAGTTAATAATTATTACTACTACTACTATTAATTAGTTTTAATTCTTCAATTGAAATAACAAAACTCTAATCTTACTTACTCAACTTACTGCTCACTTACTACACTCTAGACCATAGTGTAGTAAGTCTAGTGACACTAGTGACAGTTGTAGTGCAGTATTAGTTGGTTATGGATCATTGAGTGTTGAGAAAGGTTGGAATTGGAATAATTAATGATTCATGATTACGAATAGTTTGGATTATCCCTTATGAAAGGAAAGTTGAAATATTGGCATTGATTGGCTGGAACAGATAGCTTTTTAAGGGGGGGAACACAGGTCGACTACTAAAAAATTCACAAAAAAAAAACTATTTAAGTTACAGGTGCCAAATTTTCACTGAAGTTAGAGGAATGGTCATTCTACAATAATAACACATAAAATAACTATTAGTACTTGAACATAATAGTTTGCTAACATTCAAAAAAAAAAAAAGAAAAATGGGATGCTGAAAACAGGCATGTCAGACAAAAAAAATTAATTAGAATGTTTTAAGCTCAAATTTATACGAATTTTTTAACCATACAGAAATATGGATTAGCTTTGGCGACAACTAGGAAAAATGTAATTTATTGAATACTTTTTGTATCACAGCATATCAGCATACCAAAGTATCTTAATTTTGATATTTTAAAATCAAACTTTGATGGATTGTAAAATGTGTACTATTAATTACTCGAAATGATAACTTTTTAAAATATCAACCAATTTGTTTGAAATTTTGCAAGATGCTATATTATATACTTATCTATGCCAGCAACTAAGGATATTGTAATATATTAATAGTACACATTTTACAAACCATCAAAGTTTGATATGTATTGTGGGTTAAAATTGTGAATTTTAAATTCAATTAAATAGTACAAATCTTTCAGTATTCATTAAAAGTATGTAAAGCATGATGCCTCTATAATCTATAAGAAAGAGTCTCCTAGAAACGTGAGGCCCCCTACAAGCGCGGGGCCCTTGGCCAGTGCCCCCTGGGCCCATGCCCATGCCTTAAGACGGCACTGGTTGGGTAGCACATATATGTGTGAGAAGATGTTTTCTGTGATGAAGATTAACAAAACATCACACGAGAGTCTTCTCACTGATGAACACTTGCAGTCCACCATGAGAATCTCAATGATACAGAACGTTACTCCCAACATAAACGAACTTACTTGTTTTTGTGCCGAACATCCAGCTCTGACAAATCGGCATAAGAACGAAAATGGGAATGCCAATGATTTTTAATTATTAAAACTTTTTTTTTCTGTTTTCATTAATATAATATTATAAATCGTTTTTAAAAATATTAATTTTCAGCTTTTTGAATGTTTATCCTGAGGGAAGAAAAAAAAAAGCTTAATTAGATATGCGACTAAGTGCGGTCATGAAAGTGAAAGAAAATGCTATCGTTAATCTACATAATATTATGCCAAGAGACGATGGTAAAGCATCGCTGGAACCCCCCTCCCCCCTTTTTTTCCTCTTTTAATTTTTTTTTTTTTTTTTTAAACCCCAGAAAAATTGGTGCGGTGGGAGAGCACGACGACTACGACTACTTCATGTACCAATAGAACAGTTTCGACTCCGATATAATATATCGAATATGCCCCTTATCAAGTGTGAATGAGATGGACGGAGAAAAAACTCCAATATCAATAATTTGCAAATTAAATATAAAACTTCACTGAAGTGAACGTGGGGTGGAAATATGACAGAAAGCCCCAAAGGCGCTTCAAAGTTTAAAACCAATCCAAGTACTGTTAGCTATTATTCCCTTGTACTGTCCACAGATCGACTAGGCTACACTTGATATCCAATAATTAACCACTTAATTCACGGACACTGCGATTTTGTTAGGGGTGGGGTGGACGAGTCACGGTGACGGTGAGTGCGTATGTGGCAACACGGGCAGGTTATAGTTGCTGTATTCGGTGGTCTAAGATTGCATTTTCGGGCTAGCTTGCGTGTCTCAGCTGTCTCTATCCTTGTGGCTTCATGAGAATAAGCCCTTTTTTTGTCAGCTAATCTCCAATTGGCTCTTTCCTGGGGTGTCTGGCCCCATTCAATAGGTCGATGCTGAAGGCCTTTAGTGCTGCTTTCAGTGTGTCTGTGCATTGCTTTCTTTGGTCTCCTTTGGAGCAGTGTTTCTTTCAGACAATTTCCTCCGAGGAGGCATTTCAGATTTTTTTTTGGGGGGGAGGGGGGGGGGGGGGGAGGGGAGGGGCAGTGCCCACAGAAAGAGGCGTAGCTAAGATAGGGCATGTGGGGTGCATGTGTCCACCAGGAGCCAGATGGTGGGGGACACCAAATGGGCTTTTATTATACTATTGGATGCAAATAATAAATTTCAGGTTTAGGACGGTGTAAAAAAGAATCTTGTTCCCAGGCACTAAACACCAAAACTAACCCTAAGGCCAGTGACGTAAACAGGGGGGGGGGGGATAGTTGGTCTGCCCAGTGGTCATTTTTGTGTTATATTGAGAGTTTATATCGTGAAAGGTAGCGTGGCAAAGTGTTAACTCGCCTAAAATGGCACTAACAATAGGCACGCCGCTGGGCAATGAATATATCCAGGCCCGGTTTAACCACTAGGCGAACTAGGCGGCAGCCTAGGACGGAAAATTTATGGAGCGGCAGTGCGGCACTATGAGCTAAGTAAAAAATATAAAAATTAAAAAAATTGCCGCCCTTTAGTAATAAATGGATTGAATCATTTTTTTAGTGGAGTGACGCCGTCATTTAAACATTGAATTGACACTAATATTTGCTGGTTTATAAATCGAATGAAACGAATTACATAGCATAAATTTGATCAATAATTTACTTACTTACGTTACGGGCAAATACCGCCACATCCGGTGACGTCATTTCATTTTGAAATGACGTCAATATTGAAAATAAAATACACAATTTAAATTTGATTATCGTCTACAGGTTACTTAAATTAAATACTTCAGGTAAGATTCATCTTTTTCTTTTTTTTTTTTTACCGTTTAAAAACCCTTGTTTGCACGCTCGGCATGGGTAGGAGACACTTGGACAAATGAGTGCATTAAATCTGACGAGTGTTTGCAACTTAATGGGGTTTTGGAGCGATTTGTTTTGACGGCCGGATGCCCTTCCCCGACGCCAGCCTCACTTAGTGGATCCTGGCTACCCTATTTAAACCCGGGCACATGGGCTGAGCCGAGCTCCGCCGCTGAGCTCTGTGTAAGCAGGGGCGTAAGATATTAAATTAGTGCAATACCATAATATCAAAATCATGGTTGCGTACTTACTAGTAGTACTCTAGGTAGCAGTCGCAGTTAATGATCACGCTAATAAAGTTCTAAGTCTAGATCCTTCCAGCGGCGTCCACGGTCAAGTGATTTTGCAGATCATAAAAGACATAGTCTTGCTTGTTCGGGCTATTTATTCGAGTTGGGTGATGATTCAATTGGGTGATTTAAATGTTGTATCTTTTCCCATCTAATGATAATCACTTTTGATATTGCGGGTTTGACCTTCTACTACCCTCAAAGTTTATCGGGCTGAGGTGAAAATCCAAATTCACGCTTTGGCGTGAGTTTTCTGGTTTAGAAATTCAATAACAACAAGGGACGTTACTCCGCTTTGCTGTCTCCAGGGCAATACTGGGGGGGGGGGGGGGGGGGGGGCCTCGGGGGAGTTTGGTATTAATTTCTCAAGGTTCATCGGTGAGAGGTTTTGAACACAGAATGCACGCATTTGGGATGAGCGGCCTTGTGTAGAAATGAGCTAACAAGGGAACTCACTCGTGCAATGCTACTGCGGGGCAGCTTGAGGGGGAGGGAAATGTATTATTTTACAAGGGTTTCCAATAGCGGATTTACGATGGAAGAAATTTTACAAAGTCCAGCTTCAGATCGTCACATCAGGTAGAGGGCCGGTTGTGAAAAGGAATCGGGACACACCAGAAGCAAAATATATATAAGAGAGACAGGTCTTTTTGTAATAATGATAGGTCTTTTTGTAATAATGATAGGTCTTTTTGTAATTATGATAGGTCTTTTTGTAATAATGATAGGTCTTTTTGTAATGATGATAGGTCTTTTTGTAAGTATGATAGGTCTTTTTGTAATAATGATAGGTCTTTTTGTAATGATGATAGGTCTTTTTTAATGATTTACTTTATGTTCAAACTGCTGTAACTTTCTTGAGATAAATTTCAAATTTTACTATCTCTTCGATATCGGCTACTTTAACAAATTTTTATACCAAATTAATACAATTTATTTAAAATTAACGATTTTTAAATTTTAAAAAAATATATTTTTCTAAAATAAAATTTAAAAACCCCAAAAATAAAAAATAAAAATTAAAACCGAAATCCCAGTTCACAAAAGCAAATTTTCTTTTTATCCTTTTTTAGTTTTCTACTGGATTCTCGTCAAGAAAAATACAAAATGTTAAATGCATGCAAATAAATAGGGCCACGCCCCACAGAGGGGCAGTTTGATTGTTTAGGGGAGCAATGGGAAAATAAGCTGTCTAGGATTTGAATACGGTACTAATCGTCTACTATGATTTAATTTGTATTTTGAAGAAAAAAAGAGCAACATTAAAGTCTCTATTTACAGCTCATACTGCAACTGCCAACCGTACTCTTGAGGATAGTTATGAAATTTCCTTAATCATCGCTAAATCTGGGGAAAATCATACTACAGAAGAGAATTTTATCAAACCACCAATTTCAGCCTTTCTTAAAACGGTTCTGGATAAAGATGACAAAGACGTGAAAGCTGTGCCACTCAGTAACAATACTGTTAGCAGAAGAATAGGCGAAATGAGTGAAGAGATTGAAATACAACTTGTTCAAAAGCTGAAAACAAGAAAATTCTCAGTACAAATAGATGAATCAACTTTGAGAGACTGTGAGGCTGTGTTGATAACATACGTATAACGGGTATTTTGCTGAAGAGATGTTGTTCCTTAAATCATTAGAAACCACCACTACCGCCAACAATATATATATATATATATATAGCCTAATAAGCTAAAAAATTACTTAGATGTCAATAATATACCAATGAAAAATATGACATCTTTTGCTGCAGATGGTGCTCCTAATATGATGGGCAAGAAAAATGACAGCTTAAAATTGATAAAAGAGGAGAATCCAGAAATGCCACTTTTGCATTTTTTAAATTCATGTATTTAATGTATCAATGCTGTTAAAGCTAATCTCAAATGTGAACGTCTCTTCAAACTTCTTTGTGAAGAACAAAATGCAGTCTCTGTGAGACTTGTACATCACACTGAAGTAAGATGGGCTTCGAAAGGGAATTTCTTGAAAAGATTTATGGAATTATTTGATACTCTTGCGATTTTTTTTAAAGTGACAAACCTGATATGAAGTATCTATTAAAGGTCGATGGTAAAGCATTTGTGAGTTATTTCGCCGATATCTTTGAAAAACTAATTAGCCTATATTAGATAACCAACTTCAAGGAACAAATAAAACTTTTGTCGATGCAAAAGCGAAGATATCTTGGTTTCATTACTTTTATTGAATTATGTCAGAAAAATATTTACAACAAAAATGTTGGAACAGTTTCATTGGCACCAAAAATGTGAAGTGACTGATACTATACTAGTTATTGTCGACATCTGAAAAAAAATATTGGATGATTTAAAAGAAAGATTTTCTGATTTGAAACAAATTGATATCCCAACTTGGATGATGCAGCCAATGTTAGTGGATTTTTCTGATATTTCAAATATGATATGCAGTATCAAGAAGAACTCGCAGAAATGCAAAATGATCAGTCAGTTAAAACTTTATTTAATATAAATGGAGCGATGGCATGTGAGGAAACAGAAATCAAATATCCAAAATCAACCAAATGCACAAGAAAGCTATTGTTACCGTTCCCATCTTCATATTTAGCTGAATGTGGATTTAGCGCCGTAATTGATTTGCTGCTAAAAAAAACAACAAAAAAAAAAAAAAAAAAAAAAAAAAAAAAAAAAAAAAAAAAAAAAAAAAAAAAAAAAAAAAAAAAAAAAAAAAAAAAAAAATCGACTGGATATAACACAACGGGGAGACTTGAGACTAAAGCAAAGTAAATTGGGACCTAACATAAAATCTATTTGCAGCAAGCGTCAAGCCCAAACATCTCGTTAAATTTAAAAAATAAACAATTACTAATAATTAAAATAGTATAGAAAAATTCTTTCATTAATATTAATTTCGTACTTGAATTTCGGTTTTCCATTAAATGTTTTGAAAATTTACTTACTTATTACTATGTTTCCTCACCCATTTCCTAGTGATTTCTTTGTAAAACTATCATTTAACTTTAACTTTTAAGTTTCTTCAATGAACAACCCTATTTTTGAATATTTAACATTATGTATAAGATACATTGGGGGGGGGGGGGGGGAATAATTTTTAAAAGGGTTACTGGGAACACTGGTATAGTCTTTGGAGTAATCTAACGTTGATTTTTATAGCTGCAAACACCAATCAGATTGGTCTTTGGGTGTGGGGGGGGGGGAGGGGGGCGTCGTCCAACCTTTGCTTTGCTTCCTAGAAGAATCTAAATATAGATATTGATTCGCGCTTGCCCTTCTAGATTAAAGGTTCGATTTTAGAACCCTCTTGACCTTGGACTGAAGAAAATTATGTACTGTGGGTCATGCCAGTCGTGGTGTTGGTATTAAATTCGGGAGTTTACTATGATTACTATGAATATTAGTAACTAATAATCTTAAGTTAAAAATTGTTAAAACATAGTTGGGTATTCAGTAAAAATACTGATAAACTACTTCATTTTTTTTCCAGCTCCCTTTTTCACCCCAGTATCTCTATTTACTGGGTCACATTGAAAGGCAAAATACACTCTAGGGACTAATTACTAATATAATTTAGCCAAATTGTTTTCAGATTCCAATAACTCATAATAATGAGTAGTAATTGCTGGTAAAATAAAATTATGCCTTGCGTCTTTTCAGTGGCGTAGCGAGGGTGTTTGGCGCCCGGGACAAAATTCGCGCCCGGGGACAAGATCCATTTTTCGCGCCCCTTTTTCTTTTTTTCAACTCTCAAACCCATTATTTTCATCAATAAAATAATATCAAAGCACATTTTGGCGCCCCTAACTAGCTGGCGCCCGGGGACATCTGTCCCCCCTGCCCCCACCACGCTACGCCTCTGCGTCTTTTAATTCCTCAAATCCCGTTCTTTTCGTTGCACTTGGCCGAAAATGCCGCCCACCCCTTTGTATAGAAAAAAAAAAGGGTGCCACCATGGGACCCATCTTAAAGTAACGCGCAAGACATCAGGATTAGCTGAGAGAGTTAACTGAACGATATCGTTTTCATGAGAGAATATACAATAAAATAACACCTAAAATATTTACTATTAATGGCTTGCCCAATTTGAAGCAGAAAAGACAAAACTTTATTATTGTAAATACGAATAAGAAACGTGTGTGACAAAGCTGGTAGCTGGAGAGGCTGTGGGATTGTTTGTTTGTTTGGGTTTATTCGGGGGGAAAGGGGTTGGGGGGGGGGGAGGGAACCTGGGGTATGTCAAGTCAAGGCAGTGGCGTAGCGAGGGTGTTTGGCGCCCGGGGACAAGATTCGCGCCCGGGGACAAGATCCATTTTTAGCGCCCCTTTTTCTTTTTTTCAACTCTCAAACCCATTATTTTCATCAATAAAATAATATCAAAGCACATTTTGGCGCCCCTAACTAGCTGGCGCCCGGGGACATCTGTCCCCCCCTACCCCCACCACGCTACGCCTCTGAGTCAAGGTCGTTGGGTTGGACACAGAACAATATTACGATACTATTTGATGACATCTTCGCGGCCTACTGTGGCCTATCAATGCAATACATTATTTAACTCGTGTACATTTATTTTCAATGCTGGTAAAGCAGATGGGGGTATAAAGGAATGGATGTGAGAGTATGTGAAAGATTAAATGACAGCGCAAGACAATGAAATGGACGTCAAGGCTGCAGTGGCGTAGCGAGGGTGTTTGGCGCCCGGGGACAAGATTCGCGCCCGGGGACAAGATGCATTTTTAGCGCCCCTTTTCTTTTTTTTTTCAACTCTCAAACCCATTATTTTCATCAATAAAATGTTATCAAAGCACATTTTGGCGCCCCTAAATAGCTTGCACCCGGGGACATCTGTCCCCCCTGACCCCACCACGCTACGCCTCTGCAAGGCTGAAAGCCTTCATCTGCAAACACAACAATTAAAAAGAAACACACAAGAAAATGAGAAATGAGACGATAGCTTGTGTACCAGAGTCATGGCTGACGTTAGTGCCGTCCGGGGGTGGGGGGGGGGGAAAGGAAAAAATTTCCCCCCCCCCCCTCTCCACGGCAAAAAAAAAAAAAAAAAAAAAAAACAAAAACAAATGTAGTTGATAGAAAAATAATAAAGAATAAATGCGTCTCGGTGTCTCCCTTAATTAAGCCATTTTTTAAATTTATTTTGTTTGTGTTACTATAGCAGTTCATTGATGGCTGATGAGAAATACTTCAGTTATAAATATTATGTCTTGTGTATAAATTGTAATATTTTGACTTTATTTGTTAAAAGATGAATTAATTTATATGCTGAAAATGCATTTGTACAAAGTAATTTGTACAAATTAATATCATAGTCGCTTTCCACTAAAGAAAAAAAAATTCAAACTTTGTACATGAGTTCAACCGTCACTCGCGACGCATTTTTGCATTTTCACTCATTACTCCTCAGTACTATTATAATATAATAATATAAATTATAAAACTGGTTGAATAAGGAGAGGGCCGGCTGTAAAAATGAAGCAGGACATACCAGAAACAATATATATATATATATATATATATATATATATATATATATATATATATATANTATATATATATATTTATTTATATATAGGTCTTTTTGTAATAATTTACTTTATGCATATCTTGTCTCAGTCATATTAGGTATATTTAATTTAATAAACATTTCCCTTTATTTGGATCAGTAACATAATAATATCGTCCATCTTATCAAAGTCCACTTTGAAGCGCCACTGCTTTCATTAGGGACTTCACGTGACATTTTAAGCAGGGGATTCAATAATTCAGTAGAGGTATTTTAAATCCAAAATTCGTAGTAATCTTTGGAAAATTAATGTTTTTTGTGAGAAAAAAAAAATCGCTGCGAGCAGGGTTCGAACCTGCGCGGGAAGATCCCATTGGATTTCAAGTCCAACGCCTTAACCACTCGGCCATCACAGCTCCATACTTTGCAGGTAGAGCAAAATTATTTGTTCTCTATATCTTTTATATTGTTTTTTCTTTAATGTACAAGCTTCTTTCATTGACTGTAATTAACTTAAGTGTTTAGTGGTTTTATATGACCTTTACTTATTGATTATTTAACATTGAGATTAATTCACTTTGTTTAGAGATGGATACGTTTAAATGACAAAATATTAATTATATTATTATTATTACTACTCCGTGTTCCTTTGCCGGTTTATTCTCTAACTCTAATTTCTACCCCCTTGCCCTTATACTTATAGTTATTAGTTAAAGAATATCCCAGACCGAGGATCAGAGAATCAAAATATTGGCATAGGCATAGGCCTAATGATATTTTTGTTTTTTTTAATTCTCCAGTTCATCGTTAATTGTAACATAACCAATTTTTCAAACTTAAATTTTTTATTCCTTCTCAACAATAAATATTTAATAATTACATTTTTAACAAAAACAAAGAAATGAATGAAATTAAGGCTGATCCGGGTGCTGACACGGACACCCGGATATGCCGAGTACTACACACCCTGGAAGTACCCGGCAAACGAGGTGGATTCGACTCCGGGTGTTAACAAAAATGACAAATTTCAAACACATTTTAAACATTATTTTGTGTTATATTTTTAACTGTGCCATGAAGTACATAAATACTAGTATTGTGGGCGAAACACTGCCAGAATTACTGTGTTAGGGTAGGACAACATTCAAGTATCGTTTTATTTTAAAACAGTATCACTATCAGACCATGAGCCTGATCTGATGAATGACTGTGAATCAGACGCAGTGTGAAACTTAAATTTTTATATAAATATATAATAATATATACTTTTTGTGTATTGGTGATTGGAACAGAAATCGCAAAGTGCGCTCACGCAGATCTTGCGGTCTTGGAATAATATTGCGAAGTGTATTACAGTGTAATTTACACAGTATACAATTATAAACAAGAATAACATCAGTTGTCACTGAGTTGTTCTATTATTTTATTAAATTAATCCATAATTAAAATAAATATCAATACATTTTAATTAGTCATGTCTCAAAGTAGCAGGCAAGTAAGTAAAATTTGGAAATATTTTACAATAAATTCAGTGGATGCAAGCAAAGCAAACTGTAATATTTGCAAGGAAAAATATTCTCGAGGAGGAAAGGATCCACGCAACTATGGCACGAAGATTTTTATAAATCATTTGCAGTCACAACATCCAGCTGAATACAACGAATACGCTACATTGACTGAAAATGAAAAAAAGCGAAAGAGTAAGGATGATTCAGGAACATCAACTGGTAAAAGAGGTATACGTAAGCAGACAACTTTGTTTCCTTTGACTGAAAAATCAGCCACTTTGAATACTAACCATACCCGTCAAATAGTCATAACAACTTCAATTGGCAGGATGCTTGCATCCAATACATTGCCTTTCTCTTTCGTAGAAACATCAGCATTCAAGGAATTATTACATGTTCTTGAACCACGCTACACTGTTCCGAGTAGACAAACATTTTCTCGATCAGTAATCCCTGATATGTATTATAAGGCACGAACAATACTGGAAAGAGAAATCTCAAAAGCCAATCTCCTCAGCTTCACAACTGATGTTTGGACAACTGTGAACAATTTAAATGCCTTCCTGAGCTTCACTGTCCATTGGATTGATGAATCCTGGCATCGAAAATTTGCTTTTCTGCAGCTGCGACAGATGGAAGGCCGCCAGACTGGTGAGGTTATCGCTACAGAAGTGATGTCAATCCTGGAAGATTGGCAGATTCAGGGAAGCAGATGTGGTGTTCTGGTCCATGACAATGGAGCCAGCATGGTCAAAGCAGCACGCCTCGCCTCATTGAATGATCTTGCTTGCTACATTAATACAATTCAGCTGGTTGTAAATGATGGTCTGAAAGCTCAATGGGCTGTGATGGACACTATTGCAGCTGCTCGCTTAATTGTTGGGCATTTCCATTACTCAACTATAGCCACTGAAGCACTGAAGGCCATCCAACGCACTCTGAATTGCGACACATCACCACACCCACAACATCGGCTCATCCAAGATGTGGCAACGCGATGGACTTCAACGTTCTACATGCTTGAGCGTCTCTTGGAACAAAAAAGAGCAATCACTTTGTATTGCCAAAATGTTGAAATGACCAATCTCACAGCAACTCAATGGAATATTTGTGACCATTTAATCAAGACATTAAGACCATTTGAAGAAGAAACAAAAAAAGCGAGTCTGGCCTGTTCTTCTGCTGGAATGATTATTCCAGGAATACGACTACTTCAGCGGTTCCTTGAAAGGCCGGCAAACCCAGGAGATGATGCAGGGATTCAACCTATGAGAACAGAAATGCTCAAGTCATGGAAAACTCGCTTCGGGGGATTTGAACAAAACAAAGTGTGTGCTATAGCGACAGTACTGGAACCGACTTACAAGCTTTTCTTTTTTACGACGGATGAGGCGAAGTCCACTGCCATTAAGTGGCTCTTGGAAGAAGCCATTAGCCAAAGACTGAACCAACTTCAACCTGAGAAGAAGCACCAGCCCAGTGATGTTGTGGTTACAACTTCAATGGCTCCAGCTGCATCACAGGTATCATCACTTGATGCTTACTGGCAAGAATTCCTGCCAGCGCAGACCACGACAACTCCTGATTCTGACGAAAGCATATGTCAGCGGGAAATCGATTCGTACCTTAGTGATCCCCTTTACCCACGCCAAACACCACCAGAAGATGCCACAATCTACTGGAAAGCGAATGCTGCAAGATTTCCCATTCTGGCATTATGCGCTCAAAAATATCTGGCAACACCCCCATCTATCGTGGATAGTGAGTGTGTTTTTAGCTCAGCAGGTTTAATTTGTGACGACCATAGATCGTCCATATCCTCAAAAAAAACGGAAATGCTTTTATTTTTGAAGATGAACATGACACTGCTGGATACCGGTATTTAGTTCTTTAAATTTCTGATTTGAAAATTAGCAAAGGATTGACGGACTGATCGGATTAATAAAGTTATACCGTACTGTTATTTTTATTTTAAAAAGCTAAATGTAATCTAAATGAAACTTAAAATATTAGTAAATATACTGCACTTGTTGCAAAGTTTGTGTGATAGTCTTAGCAAAGATTCATTCTTCCGTTATGAACATGACACTTCCTGTTTACCGGTACAAATTGTACTACTACTACTACTACAATTAATATTTCCCTTCACATTTTGATGATACTAATTAGCCTACGTTTTACTTTGATACCGGTACCTTGTATTTGTATGTGAAAGAATCGGAATGGAAGGATGGCTTAGTTGTAACGTCATATGATTATTATATTATTCTTATAATATATATTTATATATAGAGTTAGAGAGAGATATATTTGGCTTCTGGTACGTCCTACTTCCTCTTCAAAACCGCTCCAACCCCAAATCCACATGTTGTATATTAATAGTACCGGTAATGAGTTGGAATTAAAAGGATGTCACGCTGCGAACTTCACGCGTGACGACTGAACTCCGGTACCGGTAAATAAAAGGTTTTGTTTTTTTCTTTAGGGGAGGCGACTATTTTTCGTTTTTGTTATTCAAAATGTTTTAATTATCCATTGTTTGGTTGTTGTTTTTTTTTAAAATATTGTTTTTTTTTTTTTTTAATATTGTGATAAGGATCACTTTGCTTAAGGTATATAAAAAAAGTGGCCGTGACTTGAAAACGCTTCAGAACATGTGTATTACTATTAGAGCTACTGATACTGGGCTTAATAATTCAGCGCAGTTAACTGGATTTTCCAGGTCTTTGCGTATTATAGCGACAATTTTGTACAGGTTCTAATCTAAATAAAAGAAAGAAAGAAAGAAAATGGTGTTCTGTAAATGATGGTGTAGTCTACCCGGAATTAGAAAAATTACTCGGGGGTTTTATTTTTTTTTTTGTTTTGGAATCGTGCGGGATTCCGGTATCCCGGGAGAGAAACCCTAATAATTTAAATAATTGATTAAATCGGTAATTATAAGCAGGTGCTGTTGTGTCTTTAATTTCAATTTGTTTTGAACGGGTGCCTACTAATACTACTACTACAACTATTTTCAACACAAAAGCTTAAGAATAGGCCTACCACTACCGGTACGGTACTTAGACTTTCACAAAAGGGCAGAAAAAAAGTTTAGGTACCGGGTAATATTAATATCCTAGCAAATACAATTAAAACATAAGTTCTTAAATTATAAATTTTTTAATAAATAATAAAAATGAGAAAAATATATTATAATATTCTGGGTTAGGGTATTGTAATTGTAATATGCTATTATTCTAATGAAGTGTAGTGAAACATTCAGAATTCAAATTTGAAAGCATGCGTGATCGCTGCTGGTAATTTTCATACAGTCTTACAGTTTTGACATTTTCTCCTTTGACTTTGAGAGAACACATTTCTCGCTTTCATCCGGTTCTTGCATTGTAATTATAATACATAGACCTTAGACATAGAGAAGTATTATACAGCTCTGTGTTGTAATACCGGGTAGCCTACCAGTAGGCTAACCCAGATACGCTTCGAGTATGATTACGGTCTCGATATACCCTGTCACAAAACTGTATCCCACTCAGTCTATAATGAACACCCTATTCATTTATGGTACCGTACCGAGATGGCATGTCAAATGTAATTGTAATTGAGTACCCGGTATTGAATTACTGACGTAGACTGACATTCATTATAATACATTATATTTTTTGCATTTCTTTTAACGATCGCACAATTTTTTATAATTTCTATTAGCTTTGGTGCAGCAAGTTTACAAACAATAAACCACAAGCAATATTTAAAAAAAACTGGTCACTTGTTTAGTTTTTAATACCGGGTACTGCATTAGTTAAGCGAATAACAAAAAAATTACTACTAAGACTAAGATAAACATGTCTGGATATTTACATTTTCTTTTTATCAGTAAATTATGCAATTTAATTAACTGCATTTCAATTTAAACAATACTATTGGGAGATGTGATGGTTAAAATTAACAAGCTTTATTATGGCTTAAGATATCGCCCTCTACCCCCCCCCCCCCTTTTTTTTTTCCATTCAAAAAAAAAAAATACAGCACTGTCTTCTTTTTAGTGTACAGCTACAGCAAAACTGTTCCTTAACTGTTACTTAACATTACTGTATGTCCATTTTCATCGTTAAAAAGTACAATCCTCGCTGCGAGCAGGTTCCGAACTTGAGTGGGATAATCACAGTGGATTTCAAGTGTAAACAAATTTAACACCCCAGTCATCACAGCTCAGTAATGTCCGGTGATCGTTTCCACAGCAGAGCAGTTAGTGATCAGTGGCCTGTGTTTTATACGCGGGCGTTGACTGTGTGTGTTTGTGGGCTGGGGGGGGGGGGGGCTTCCGAACAAACAAATATCATTCAACGTCTTTGTGAATAATTCGTGTTGTGACTTGGCTCAACCTAAAAGTAAGGGCTGTGTTTTATACGGGGGTGTTGACTGTGTGTGTTTGTGGGCTGGGGGGGGGGGAGCTTCCGAACAAACAAATATCATTCAACGTCTTTGTGAATAATTCGTGTTGTGACTTGGCTCAAACTCAAAGTATGAGACAGATTCAAAAGGAAATGTGGGTGGTCAGACCAGATGTTTAAATGAAATTACTTAATTTAACCACACATTTCAACGGCATTTGGCTACTAAAGTTAAAGGTTATCTTCATATTTCATCGGTGATAGTGTAATGGTGGCGCTGCTAGGGTTAATGCCACCTGAACTGGTCTAGAAACCCCCCTTTTAACTTTTAAGAAAAAAAAAAAAAAAAGTGTAGAAAGAGAGATAACTGAGGCCAATTTGGCATTGCAGTCATGCATCAACTCATCAGAGTTACTGACCCTTAACTTAAACAAAATCATCTCATTGAGGGACTGGTGCACTAGCACTTAGTAAATTAACCAGTTTATAAATTACAATCTTGGCACCACATTGTCTCAGTTGCATCTGGAAAAACATTCCCTCCACCCTATTCCTTTGATATTCTATCTTACCTCATACTTTCATCACCTCAGCTTTCATATTTCATTCAAGTTCTATTTTCTCTGACTGATCTAACTCAGTGGATCACACAACATATTGTAATAACGTAAGTTAACAATAAATTTTTTTAAAAATTGTAAATTGCCCTTGTTCATCAAAAATTGACCTTTTATTTGATACGAAAAAAAAATAATCATTTTATTCTGTTGACTCTCAATGTATAAAAAATACATAGATCTAACTGTACAATCTTCTACATCTGGGTTAAAATAAAGATATTTCAAAATCACATCTTCAGCATGTTCTTTTGGTATTACAGTAAATTATTTCAATCATAATAGTAAAAGACCACAACATTATAAATGAGATAAAACATTGTATAAATTTGCGGTGAGTTATTGCAATAGCAGCCTTTGGGATAAACATTGGATTACCAACAAATTATTTTGAAAATAACAATTTTATTGCTTTGAGGTGAAGAGAGCTTAATTCACTGGGCAAAGACACATTAACATGTACTTCCTTTTATCATCTGCAATAAAGAATATTGCATTTGTCTTTATTGATTTTTGAACAACTTAGTAGGTAGTAGACAAGCGATTTGTAAACAAACAAACAAAAATTATTTAATTGACAGTTTTTTTTTCTCCATTAAACAATGTTTGCTATAAGTGACTTTGGATAAGTGGTCCACTACATCTGATAACAGTAGGTTTATAACCTCAGAATCTTTCAGTTCAAACATTAATAAAAAGTACACTAACAACACTACTGGTACCATTAATGAATTTAACAGTTGTAATTGTAAAGACGAATCAGACAGAAAGTAGTCATATCACCTCAGTGCTTTTATGTTTACTGGGATAATGCATATATGGGATCACCAACTTTGATCTTTCCTGGTTTGTCTAGGGTAAAGTTTATCCCAAAGCAAGGCTTTTGACCATAAGGTTCTTTGAGTCTATAGCTGGAAAAACAAAACAATAATAAAAAATTAATTAATTAAACTTAATGTAAAACATTAAACTAGAGAGAGACCAATCGACGTTAAAAAAAAATTAATTCATAACAAAAATTCATTCATAAGTTATGCATTTATTATTTTTTATCAAATTAAATTAAAAATTTTAATTTATCCTTTGCTAAAATATTATTTTTTAATAAGTACCAATACTGAAACTTTACTTTATTATATTTATTGCATTTTTTACAAAAAAATATAATCATTATAATTATATTGTCGCTCGTCACATAGAAAGTTATGGAATAGAAAGTTATGGAATAGAAAGTTATGGAATAGAAAGTTATGGAATAGAAAGTTATGGAATTAAAAATAAAAACTATTTCTTAAGTCTGAATGAAGCCCACAAATAAATCCCTATGCGTATGACCCCCATCAATAAACACCTATGTCTATGGCCCCACTAATACACACCTGTTTCTATGTCCCACTAATAATGAACACAATGTTTAACAAATGGTGCTCACAAAAATCTTTTAAACTGTTAAATATTTTAAAATATTATAAAATCAAAATTACGTTTTTAGAGTAGATAAAGGTTCTTCTTTGGAGTCTTTGACTCCAGTTGACTGATCAACAGTGGTTAGAAGACATCTTGTGCAGGCATCCAATGCCCTCAACTCAGCATCACAAATTTTTATGGAACTCCAGAAATCCTTGAGAGTTAAATGAAAAAAATGTTTGCCTATTGAAAGCATGTGAGGCATGGCTCTGACATATCAGATGTGAAAAGTTGTAGAGGGGCGGACATAGACTCAGACCACATGCTTGTTAGAATCAAATATAAGCAAAGAATTTGTAACATCCACAATAAACAAAATAAAAGAGAAAAACAGTACAATAGTCAGAAACTAGGTAGGGACCCAAAAATTACTGAGGAATATCAACAGAAGATTGAAACGCTACTAGAATTATCCAAAAGAGAATCAGCCAGCAACGTTGATATAAACCAGCAATGGGAAAAGATGAAGCAAATAGTCACTAGTGTAACAGAGGAAACGATTGGATTTAAACCAGCAGTGAAAAGAACAGGATGGTATGACGCAGAATGCAAAGAACTTATAGAACAAAGAAACAAAGCTCGGCTAATGATGCTGTAAAGGGAAACAAGAAGAACACGACAATTATATAATAAAGCAAGAAGGGTGGCCAGCAAAATGTGCAGAAAGAAAAAACGTGTTTGGGAAAAATAAAAAATAGTAGAGATAGAAGAGTTGGCAAAAGAAAGAGATGTGAGGGGAATGTACCTGAAGATAAAGCAGGAAAAGAATGGCTTTCAAGCAAGATCACACATGTGTGAAAGCACGGATGGAGAATTGATCACAGAGAGCAGTAGAGTACTAGAGAGATGGGCACAACACTTTGAAGGCTTACTGAATGGCTCAGGTGGAGGAACCAATGAGGATTACGCCCCGCCACAAGGAGGACCGGACCCACTGGTCAACCAACCAACACCAACCAACTTTAAATGAAATAAAAGATGTAATCTCCACCATGAAAAATAACAAAGCCCCAGGAATAGACCTTATCCCTGCAGAACTCATAAAGCTAGGTGGTAGCGAACTGCATAGGCAAATACACGAACTTATAACCAGAATCTGGCAGGAGGAAGAAATGCAAACTGAATGGGACACGGCACTCATAATCCCAATCCACAAAAAGGGATCTAAGTTGATATGCTCAAACTATAGAGGTATCTCCCTTCTTAATGTAATGTACAAAATCCTCACAAAACTTATAGCAAGAAAATTGGAAAAGTATAGTGAACAGATTCTAGGGGACTATCAATGTGGATTCCGGCAGAATAGGTCAACCACGGATCATATTTTTACTATAAGATGTCTCCTGGAGAAATGCTACGAATATAACATCGACATACACCAACTATATGTTGATTACAAAACAGCATACGATAGCGTTAACAGGAATTACTTACACAATGCTTTACAAGAACTTGGAGTCCCTAACAAGCTTACTCGGCTCATACACATGACAATGGCCAACTCCAAAAGCAGAATCAAGGTTCAGGGAGAATATTCTAGGGAGTTCATAGTTAATCGGGGCCTCAGACAAGGAGACTCACTATCATGTATCCTGTTTAACATCACGCTAGAAAAAGTTATTAGAAGCATTCACATTAGCACCAGTGGAACCATAACAAACTATTTCCAGAGAGATACTACAGAGCAACGACCATCAGGAACCAATATATCGGTTGGTAACGTCAACCTGGCATATGCAGATGATATAGCACTACTGGGTAGAAACCGTAATGACATAATTAAAGCATTCAGGGAACTTGAAAATGCCTCATTCAAAGCTGGCCTTGATATAAATGAACCGAAGACAAAATATATGATAATGTCAAGAAACTCCCATGCTGATAATAACATCAATATAAACAACCACAAATTTGAGAGAGTGGCCACATTCAAATATCTAGGGGCAACTATAAATGAGCACAATGAGATAATGTCAGAGGTGAAAGAAAGGATAACAGCAGGCAACCATTCCTATTTCAGTCTACGAAAGCTACTGGGAAACAAAAACCTATCAGAAACAAAGAAGACAATATACACCACCATCATAAGACCTGTAGTAACGTACGCTAGAGAGACCTGGACCCTCACCAGAAAAGCAGAGAACCTGCTCAACACATGGGAGAGGAAAATCCTCCGCAAAATATACGGACCAGTGATAGAAAATGAGATCTGGAGAATATGTACAAACCAAGAACTTTATTATTTGGACAAAGAACCACCCATAGTCATAATGATAAAAAAAGGCAGAATACGCTGGGCAGGTCATGTTGAAAGGATGCCGGAATGCAGAGAAGCCAAAATTATATACAGGCAGAAGCCTAGGGGCAGACGACTCATCCGTCGCTCAAGGATGAGGTGGATTGATGATGAGGAGACAGATTTACACCAGTTGGGGGTTCGAGCATGGAGACGGAAAGCCATGGATCGCTCCGAATGGAAGGATGTGGTGGAGCAGGCCAGGGCCCTACATGGGCTGTAGTGCCATTGATGATGATGATTGAAAGCATGTGCCATAGTAATACTAGAGTAGAGTAGAAGTTAGAAGTATAAGTTAAACATGAAATGTATTGCTTCTTCGTGTATAAATTATAAAACATATATGACGACCAGTAAATATCATTGATATACATCTATGTGCCCACATTTAGATTAAACATGTCTACATTAGCAATGATCAATGCAATTATCCATTACCTCTGAATAGGCAGAAGATCCATCAACAATAATGTTGGCTCTAAAATTTGTGACCGGTACAGGTTTTTCAAGTCGACTGTTCAGATCTGCTAATGATGTCATTGAAAATACCATGTAGCCACAGTAGTCTGAGAAGGCACACTGTGTTAGAAAAAAAGGGAAAGCTTAAATTTAAACAAATGTCACGACTTGTGTGAAAATTTTTATCAATTTACAGCTCAACAACAGCTAGCGATTTAACTTTTAAATTCTGGACATTTGAATGAAAGCATTATTTCTTGTGATAATATTATAAATGTCATGTTTATAAACAGACTGAGCATACAGAACAACTCATAAATAATTTCTAATGCATGCACAAGTGATAGAGTTTCAGTGAAATTATTTCAAAATTTGTGAATAAAAGTACCAGGACAACCCCCCCCCCCACTCCCTACTGCCATATGTATGTTTAAGTTTAAGCAAACTTGACAAACCCCTCTCCCCTTTCATTACGTACCCCACTATTATAAGGGCATCTCTACTTTTATTATATTTCCATTTTGACAGAATTTATTAATAAGCTAATCATCCTTCACCATATATTAAATTAATTTATTTTAGAAGCTACCAGTAATTATTTTATCATCATCATGTCCCTTAGTCCTTGGACCGTTGGGGCGCCAAAAATGACATGTGAACCATCCTCCTCCATTCGTCTCTGTCTTCTGCACTACGCACAGCATCGCCCAGTGTTAGTCCTGTCCACTCTTTGATGTTATCCTCCCACCTTTTTCTTTGTCTTCCTCTTCTTCTCCCTCCTCTTGTGGTGCCCAGCAATATTTCTTTGGCAAGCCCTTGTTTCCTTGTTACGTGACCACACCATTGTAGTTTGCATTTTTTCACAATCACCAGTAGGTCATCGTACTCCCCAATTGCCTGGCAAACCCTTTCTTTCACTGTATCATTGGAGATATGATCCCTATAGCAGATGCCAAAAATGCTTCTGAAGCATCTTATCTCCATCGCATATATTTTCCTTTCAAGATCTGCTGTTAATGTCCAGGATTCACAGGCATACAGGAAAATGGAGAGGACTAATGAGCGCACCAGCCTGATTTTGGTGCTGGGCGCTATATTTTTGTCACTCCATATTTTCTTGAGCCTCTTTAGTGCTGTTGTAGTCTGCGCAATCCTGGACATCAGTTCGGGCTTGGAGCCTTCTTCTGAGACTATTGCTCCTAAGTATTTGAAGCGGCCTACAGTCTCTAGTCTTTCCTCCCTGACCTTTATTTCAGTGGTGATGCCTGTGGTGTTATGCTGTAGGACGACGAGGTCTTGTTGAGACGCTTTACCAGGTTGGCTAGCTCTTCTTTGTTCTATGTCATCCGCAAAGCGTAGGTTGGTGATTGTTCTGCCACCAATGCTGACTGTCCCTTTGTGCGCTTCGAGAGCACCTGACATAATTCTCTCTAGAAAGAATTATTTTATACAATGTATTAAAAGAATACATATAACCTAATTGTTTTATAAAATTTATTGAAAGAATACAACTTTAGAAGCTTATTGTTTCATACCATGTCTCCAGGTTTGGCTGGATGTTGCCACATTTTCTTTGCTTTATAACAATCTCTTTTTTCCAAAGAAGGTGCAGAATAATGTAGGCGCAAGCCTTCACGCTTGAAGTATCGACAAAGCCAGTTAGAAACATCATCCCCACAGTCAACTGAGGGCACTGTATCTGTTTTGATTCTGCAAAATTTTTTGTACAAATGAACACAACTAGTCTCACATTGAATGGTATAGATTGCAAAAATTTCATTAGAAATGTGACGAAATATCATTAAAAAAATTATTAATTTGTTGAAGATTTCTTACTGCTCATGATTACTTACGTTACTTTGCTGATGTTATATTCAGTCACATCTTGATGAACTGGAACTCCAATAGGATCCATGCCAGGTGCCATTAACTGGATATCATTTCCATTCAAAATAGGAGTAATAAGAGCCATGGTAGGCTCTTGTCTTTGAGTCAAATAAACCCCATCTGCTGTGGCAACTGTAAAGTGCCTGAAATTGTAGCATTAATACAAAATATTTGAACATTTTTTTGCTATCTAGGACTGAAATCAACTTAAATAATGCCAATATTGTCCTGAGGAAAGTTAGAAATTTCTCTGAAAATAGGAAAAGTCAAATCTCTAAGCTTTTATAAATCACCAATAAATCAATAAGCTTAGGTCCCTAAAACAAATACACATCATACTTCATGATACACCTTAACATTAAAAAATATTTTTTACTTTCTGAAAAAGCTTTTGACTAAGCAGATTGGAATTAATGCAGATAAAGATATGAATATGAACAAAAATTTACTAACCTATCAGTGAGCTGTCTCCATCGTAAGCCTAAATATGTGCAATCCGCTTCATGAATGCTGATACCTCTAAACGACTTAATTGGATAGATCCAGATAGCCCCAACTGTTCCAACTTGACGCCACTGGACTTTATTAGTATTTCTAAGAATCCAGTAACCTGCCACATACTTTAATACTGCACCTGCAGTAACTGCAGCAAAAACAGCAGCAGGCGATTCAATGTTAAAGATGTCCATTATTTTTTAATATTATGTCACATAGAAGTTTAGACAGGCGTCATTGGTGGACTGGCTAATGCAATGGAGGGTCTGACCAAAGCAATGCTTCAATACTTCAATGAAATTAATGCAGAGGCAGGGATGGGACAAGAGATCCTGGATGAAGCCAATGAATTCAATGATGTTTAAAATTGCTTATTGATATAACCTATATAAAAAATCATATTCTAAAACATAAATGTCATTAATTTTCAAGTAAAGACTATCATAAGATTATAATGATCAGAAACAAATAAATGAAATACAGGTACCAGTACCGGTAATCAAATTAATTTCTAGTTTTTCTCATCATAGAAAATTAAAGATGAAAAAAAAGTTATACTTGATACTTAATTATAGTTTATAGTTAATAATTTATAGGCCTATGCCTATTAATATTAACTATTATTACTATTATTACTATAGACTATTGTTACCTATTTTGATGCTAGTTACTAGTAGTAGTTTATGAAGAGAAGAATTAAGCCTTTTTAGGTAGAAGTAGAAGAGTAAGTGTAAGGCTTACTCTTCTACTTCTCTTACAGTAAGGACAAGTGGCAAGAGTTAATTAAATTAATTATTTAAATTAATTTCATTTAGCTAGTGATTTTGACTCATTTTATTTTTAGTTACTTTTGCCCATTATTACTTTTTTTGGATAAATTGTCACGCCCTAAGCCAGTGATCGGGAAACCGCGACCTGAGTACGGTGCGGCCAGTCGGTCACAAATCGGGTTTGACTCGAAAAAACACGGTCTTGAAAAGAAATTGGCTCTCAAAATTTTTTAAATCGTTCTACTGCTGATTTTTGGCCCTTTTGACTAATGTCTACTAATGACTAATGAGTTGGCCGACCACCTAGGCCGATTTAGCGGAAGTTAGCCTTTGTACTTTCAACTTTTGACACTATTTACTATTAAAATTTATATAAAGTTATCATCTCATGATATGAATTCTTATTTTATAACTTAAGTTTAAAAGTTTAATTAAAGTTTCACTAAGTAGACTACAAAAGCATTTTTATCCAAAAGACCTACAATAACGTGTGAGTGTGAAATATCAATGAGTTACTTTCTTCCGATTCTTTAAGTGGTGACAAGCCAGGCCAGGGTATTACTAGTATTGGGCCTACTTCAGTATTAGGCTACTACTACTAATAAAAGGTATCGGCCGTTGCTGTTACGAGGGAGAGTAAACAAGATATATATATTTTTTTTTATTGCTATCCCCACATCGCGCCTTGCATTGTACCCCCGCATCCGTGCTCCGTACACGGTTCGTCTGGCTCTTGTTGAAACTAGGCCAATTTTAACATTTCATCCAAGTATAGATGAAATATAGTTCGTACTGGCGTAGCCATAGAAAAATATAACTGAATGCTGCTGATGTAGAATCTTTGTTACACTTAGACAGACTTAAGACAAGTTAAATTAACCTCGTATATGTTCCGCAACCCATGATAATTATTTGACTTGTCTTACTTCCACCCCAATTGGCAGATTTTATTTAAATTATTAATTGCTACCGGTACGTACTGTGACGCCTCCAGTTAGTAATAAACAACCTAGCAAGCCGACCAATTTTTGGGTCCCCCCCCCTTTTCCCGAAAAGACGCCCCTGCCTGAGAGCTTAACGGTCGAAAAAATTCCATATTTTGCGTTGAAAGGTCGAATAATTTATCAACCAACTTCCAAGAGCCATATTTTCAATTTAATTTACCGTTTATAAATTAAGTTCCTTATAATCTATTACCGTTTTGTGAACATGATTATTTGTAACCTCAATGAAAAAGGTTAGTTGGTCTCAAATTGTTGAGCTGTTCCAAAGTGCAGTATAACAATTCACGAGTACCCGTCAAGTCAGCCAAGTGTTGTGTTTTTTTGTTTCAAGTTCTGCTGAAATTCCTTAGATAAGCCCAACTGTTGGACTTACCATATTTTTATTAGTGGGGAAAGAGTGTGTTTGCAGAATCTAAAATTTCAAGGTGTTATGTAAATTATATTATTTCAAAATAGTGATGAGTTTAAAAAAAAGTTTGAGAATCAATACTTTACTGGTTAGAACACTTGCTGTAAATGAAATTAATGCATTTCTGCAACATGATAAAATGTCATTCTTGTTCTTACCCCATTAGTAAAAGTAATTATTTTATTTTGATAACTTGACTATCAGTAGTGTTTTAGTTTATAGTTTAAGCCAGCGGCTCTTTAGTGACCTGAGTGCGACTCGGTCATAAATCGGTTTTGACTCCAAAGAATGTGGTTCTTGAAAAGAAATTTGGCTCTCAAAGATTTTTTAAATCACCTTGCTGCTGATTTTTGGCTCTTTTGACTGATGTGCTTGACGATCACTGGTTTAAGGCTTTTAGTAGTATTTGCACAAGGTAGGGGAAAACGTGAAAAAGTCCACAATGAAACACTATTATAGTGAGGCTTTCTCAAGAGAGATATTTTCCCCATCTTAATCTTTGGGGTGGGGGTGTGACAGAAAGAGAGGGGTGCCCACAAAAACTTTGAATAGGAATTTTTCCTATTTTTATATAAATTCCATATTTGCCTACCGTAACCTGGTATAAAAAATAAAAGGAGAATTTTATTTTAAAAAAAACATGTTAAAGAGAGCAAAAGGGCATTAAAAAAAAGTTCAAGTGCACCACAAGCAAATTAGGATTAAGAAACTCTGGTCTTACTTAGGTACCGGGTATATATTTGAGTGTTAACTTAGTAAACTTACTGTAGCACAATTACATTTCTAAGTTTTATTAATTAACATGACAAATAAACAAAATAACAAGGTTATTTCAAGGAGAAACATATCTTTTAGTTACAATCTAATTATATCAAGCATGTAGACCAGCGGTTCTCAACATGCGGGTCGCGCCATCCCTGGGGTTGAACGACCCACAGGGAAAACACATTTATGAAGTAGCAACGAAAATAATTTTATTGTTGGGGTTACCACAACATGAAGAACTGTATTAAAGGGATTGCAGCATTAGCAAGGTTGAGAACCACTGCTGTAGACATCAAAAAAAAAAATTTATGATCTCTGAAATGCATTACAATTTACATTAAAAAATAGTGTACATTTAATTTAAAAACCACTGGCAAATTATAGCAGTGCCTGATAAAACACTATACATATTCTTAAAAGATATACACACAAAAAATCTAAAAATCATGCATTTATATTAATTTTCTTGTTTAAGCTGTTACTGTTACAAAATTTTGTATAGCAATAATAATTAATTTCAGGGAGAATAAACTGCATATAAATTGTTAAGAAGAATGGAGACTTGAGATAAGTTATATTATCAATAACTCAAATTAGAAATTTGTCTACAGACAATATTCAACAGCAGAGGTCATTATTAACAACCAATAAGCTGCATTCTAAGCTCTAAACTCTTCCCCAAATAACATCAAAATACCGGGTAATGAATGTTACTTACAGAAATAATACTAATAATAGAAAATCCATAAGTAGGATTTGGCAAGGTTTAAAGCAGCCTGTGGGTTTTTGAAATAGATTCTTAGGATTCTCTGAGTTTGAGATCAATTGTCTACATGGATTTCTCATGGAAGGTGATCAATTTGGATGGTCATACACATTTATAACTTTTATATCAATGAGAAAACAGTTGTTTGGTGAGGGCATTCATGATTCATGGTGGCTCTTACAATTTTGCCGCTCTAACAGTTTTTCTGTGCTGCCCTGTTTTATTCAGTGGTTGAGGGGATGGATGATCATGACAGTTCATGATTCTATGAGGCCTGCAGTTTTCAAGAACTTCCCAAGTTTAAAACAAATATTTATTTAACCAACAATATCTATTTTCATTTATAAAAATAATTTTGCAATGAAGAAATGATAAAGCAATATGGTTAAAAATTGAGTCACACATTTTTTTCTCTCAATGTAATGATAAACTTAATTCCGATTTCATAAATTATTATTTTTTATCATAAACTTCAATGCTAAATTTTATTTCATTTTCTTCAAAGTCTTCTATCGGAACATTTTCTGGATCTGAAACTTTAATAAACTGGTTTAAATTAATATCTGGCAAGAATGTGTCACAAACAAAATCATGATAAATGCGTGTCAAGTAAATCCTGCATGGGTTTGGTGCTTCCATAGCTTCCTTGTAGACGGATGCACCTCCAATTATAAACACATGTTGAACAGCAAGAGTATCTGCCAAAGATAGTGCTTGATTCAAGTTTCTGGCAATGTGGACACCTTCAGGTACTTCTGTTAACTGTGAACTCAACACAACATTTACTCTCCCTGGTAGGGGACGAAAATTCTGTGGAATGGAAAGCCAAGTCCTCTTGCCCATGACAACCATATTTTTCTTCTCAGCATTTTGTGTTGTTGAGGTAATCTGCAGAAAAGAACTTAGGCTATAATTTACAAAATGATTTGTATTAACTTAGAATTGTGAGTCTTGGCATATAGTTTTTATACTTAAATTTTTCTTAACTGGAATACAAGGTTAGCTTGGCAACAGTGCAAAAGTTCAGGCCTGTGAGAAGAAGAGGGGCTAGCGGTGGGCAAAAAATGAACTAGCTCCCCCCCCCCCTCCAAATTAAGCAAAAATTAAAATTGTGAGTCTTGGCATATAGTTTTTATACTTAAATTTTTCTTAACTGGAATACAAGGTTAGCTTGGCAACAGTGCAAAAGTTCATGCCTGTGAGAAGAAGAGGGGCTAGCGGTGGGCAAAAAATGAACTAGCTCCCCCCCCCCCCTCTAAATTAAGCAAAACTTAATCATATTACTATTTAGATTTTTTAAAATTATTATTACAAAGCTTATCATGTTATTAAAAAATAATTAAAATGCAATTAATTCATTTTGTTTAGAAATACAGTTGGAAACAAATGCTATAGTGGAATCTACCTATTGGAGTCTTTGTACTTATTTCATTTTTTGCCCTCTCCTTAAAACTTTTTTGATCAAATTGTGTTAGTCAAAATTTTCATTCCTAACATTTTTTGGCCCACTAGAGAGCTTAAAAAAGATAATAATTTAGGATGGCAAGAGCTTAGCCAGAGGCGGTGAGTATCAAAGGGGCCTCACATAAATCTCATGCTATTTTTTCTTCGACTTTGCACATCCACCTGGATACATCTCATCATAAATATTAGGAAATCCTCATAATACTAATACATCATCACAATTTTGAGACACGCCTGTCCCCCACCCCCACACCTATGTACTAGTAGATGCTGACTCATTTGTGGATGGTTCTATGACTGGTAATACTGCTATCAATATAACTACAGCAATAGAACTTATAGGAATCATAGGACTCATAGGAATAGTCTCAGGCTAGTCAGACTCAGTAAAGTGGAGCTCAAAGTCTGACCAGCCCAGGGGCAGGGCCAATGGCAAGAAAAATCTGTGCCCGAGGCAAAATAAGGCTTCGACAAAGCTTGAATATGAGGTGCCCTCTTCCCCATAAATTCATAAAGTATTTATCAACAATATTTAAAAATTTAGACACAATTTTAATTTGTATTAAAATTAAACAATCCCTAAAAACAAAGTTTTTCATATAAATCCTTCATAAAATCTAATAATATGTGGGGTGGAGCTGAAAATTTGTCAAAACATGCACACAAGCAACACACTATATTTTTTTGGTTCCCACCACAGGCTCCTCCTCACAAACTCACATTTTACACACCGCTGAAATATATTAATATTATATTCTAATAACAACCGCTTTTACACCACAGATTTATTTCAGTAAAACAAAAGAAAATATGCACCACACGCAATAGTGATATTTTTTAAAAGAATATCTATTGGCGCAGTTATCTGGATTTTTTTACTTTGAGTTTGAGAAATCAGTTTCATCATATTTCCTTTTAAAAAACAGATTTTCAAAGATTAAGTTTGGGCCGAAAATTTGAAAGAATGTGTTACTGGCAACAAGCCTATATAATGTGGCAAGTTTCAGCTCATTAGGTTGAAGGGAAGTGGGTCAATTAGCTGTCTGAATATTTTTTAATATAAAGAAAAAGGCCAATAAATTATTTAAAAATGATGATGCTGGCACCATCTTCATGCACAAACTTTTGCATGTCCCAGTCACACTCCCTTTATTGTGAATTGTACACTCAGGCCTAATCATCAATTGATTTTTTTTTTAATGAACTTTTTGGGATGATAATGGATGGAAATTCAATTAATGACATTAAAATCAGTAATTAGTAATGGTCCTGGATTAAATAAAATGCAACTGCAATATGACTACCTTATGACTTATGATGAATTAGTCAAGCCACATCAAGCCCAAGCGCAATAAAAATTTAGGATAGCCAAAATTTCTAGTTTAATACCAAAATGATTTAGTTTTATAAATAAATAATGCAAACCTTCTTGAAGAAAGCCATATCTTGCTTCAGGCGCCAAGGAAGGCGTCCTTCGATTCCTATGCCCATGTTATTGCAAGCAGCGACCACTAAATTTAATTTAGTTGTAGGAGCCATAGATTGTTGAACACCGAATAGAAGTTATCTAGGATTTTTTTTCTTACTACTACTACTTTACTGTCTACCTTTTATTAATTTATTAGCTAGTCATTAGCGCCAAATTTTTCTCCGACGATTAATTTTAAGATATCGATACCACATTAGAGTTATCGTTTGAAGTACCGGTAGTAATTTTAAATCTATTAAAAGTATCAATGACATGATTTAATCAGTATAATTTTCGAAATAATTCTAGTAAGATTTTACAAAAATTAAAAGATACAAAATTCTTTGAAAAACAAAACCCAGCGTCGTGTTTGCTAATTATGATCTTAATATACTATATAGTCACTCATATTCAAATCTAGCTAAAGGTATCGTATTAGTCAATTACTTGCATCAGTTTCGCAATTTTATTCATGCTCGACATTTTATTTTGTACGCTCGAGCAGCAATATTATTTCAATCATTATCATTTTTGACCTCATTTTTAAAAAAAAATATCTCCCATATTTAACAATTACACTAAAATAATACACTAACATCTTATGAGAGATTTCCTACTTGCAGTACTATAAGGGTTTATTTCATTCTTCATATTGGTTTTACTGTTTATTCACTGAAGATCAAGAAGGCTTGTCTCCGACACGCTCACTGTTTTGTTGCGTGCTTTTTTCAGGTTTTCCCAAAATTTGTTTCATTTCATTTTATTTCCTTCTACCTAACCTGACTGCAGTCTCTCCCCGCCCTATTCCCCTTAATATCATTCCCTCTTCATAGCATTAAAAAAAAATCTCTAAATTGATATTTCATAATTAAAACCTTGACAATCACCAGGATAAAATAAGAGGTTCCAATCAATCCCTCAAGTTGATAAGATTTAACCGAAAGAAGTGTGCGGAGGTCTTGGGGGCTATTTTTTCAGTGTTTCTTTCAAGCATTTCTCCCGTCCGAAGAAAAATGAGTACAACAGTAACGTTAATCTATAGGCCTTCTTAAAAATACAAATTGTTATTTTAAAAATTGAATGAAATAGTAGTCTTAAATTTCACCGTTTAAAATGAGTAAAATACTGCAACCAAATATCGAGGCCGAGGCGTCGATATATTTGATGATACGAAAATTTAAGAAAAATCTAGATCATATTGTATTCGTATCTTAATATTTGATTGTTTATTTACCTTTCCAATCAACAATATAAATGCCTATATAAGTAATATTAACATATATAAATATAAATAATATTAATATAAATAATATTTTGAAATAGTGACTGCTAAAAATATTTAGCCAAATTTTTAGCAGGAACTATTTCAAAATATTAATCCATGTGTGAAAATGAATATGTACAACAATGTAATTAAAATACATTCTTGTGGTTCAGTAAGTTCAGTAAACAAATTTAATCTTATCTTAATTATCAAACATTAACAATCTGTTTAAAATAAGGTGCGGGTGGGCTATAATAGCCTGAGTCCTAAGTATCATCATTCTAATTTGTAATTTAGTTGATTCCATGAGTGTTGAGCTAATTTTAAAAAATGAAAACTTAAAAATAAAAAATCAATTCATTTTTGAACAAATTACGATTTATATGGCCATACTAATGGTCACGTTTGATCCATTATTTTAAAATTGAAATCGTTTGTATTTTCTTGACATGTGTTACTTTTGTTAGATAGTTTACCGGATAAAATAAATTAAAAATAAATTTCAAATGCATAATTAATATAGAGTCTAGTTATAGATAACAGAGGCCAATATTAATCACTTAAAAATGTTTTTCTCTTTTTAATATCAAAATATTTTCTTTTATAATATTTCCAACTAATTCGCAATCATTAATCTAAAAATTAAACTACTCTAGGTTAGTATCAAATAGGAAGTTGACAAAAAAAAAAACAACATATAACGGGAATTAGTTTTAAGATTTTCAAATACATTCCCTTAATTATTGTTTGTACTTATTTCAACAAAGTTATAATTTTAAAAATCGTAATTAAAAAAACAAAACAAAAAAAAAAGGCTGCATCTAAAGGTACCCGGGTACCTATGGTCGCCAATGACAATTCGCACCCGGAGTGGCTCCGTACATATTAAATGGCTTCGAAGCCGAATGTGATAACAATAATATTATGAGAATAATTTTTGAAATTGTTTTTTCTCCTTGTTTATTTGATTGATTCATAGTTTTATTATTTTTATTTTTGCTTTGTTAATTTCTCTTAGTACGGGTAGATTTTTTTCTTTTTTCTTTTCTTTTTTTAGTTTAAGCCATTTTCGGAGATCAATTATTATTTTGTTTTAATCTAGTAATGAAGATGATTTAGATACATTTATTGTTTTTATTTGAATTTTAGAAAAGTAATAATATTAATTTAATTATTAAAATTAAATCCTTTATTTAAGATTATTTATGTGTATTGTTTAAGTTAAAAGATTTAATCACACAGTACTTTATGAATTAATTAGGTATTCTAAATAATGAAAATTTCATTCATAATGAATTTATTTCAACTATTCCTCTAGAGAGCTTGGCTTAGTCAGAGCAAAACTACCAATTTTAAACCTTTTCCTTGGCACTGGGTGTCATACATGCGGACACTAACTTGAATCTCCTTTCAACAACCTTTCTCATTTGACTTGACCTAATTCACAAGGTAGTTGCAATAATGAACATCTTAAAGTTAAAGGATGCCATTGTATAAAGTATGAGAAGACTTATTTTTGGAGGACTAGTCTTTTTTTTTTTTACCATATCTGTCTGCTGGGTCTAACACACTGGTACATAATTTTTTTGTTTGGTTGTTAGTTATTTGAGTTGCGTACTCAAGTAATCCATAAAATAAATTAGGGGCCAGTATGGAGTAGGCAGCCATTAAACTCATTCAATTAGGTTACATCATTCCTTTGCCATTTGTCTCCTTTTACTTTCTCACCTTCCTTGTTGGTACCTGTACAGTTAACTATTGTTTGTACTGTATCATAATACTTCATTTAAGTACAGACGTAATGATTGAGTGGGAGCAAATATATGTGATCTGTGAAGGGAGTTTGGTTTCAAGGCAACTAAGTCATGCCACATTGAAAATAAAATACTCATAACCTAAATAAATAGAGCCATTGAAAAAAATACAGTACATACAAACCATACACAAACAGAAAGACAAAAATCCACTAAATTTTAAAAAAAATTTGTTGTGACTTTTATTGCAAAAAATTTAACATTTAATACCAATTTTGACTTTACGCAAAATGATAAAAAACAAATTTGTATTGCATTGTATTGTAAATTATTGTACTGTATTGTAAATGAAACTTGGCATACATATTAAGAATAACATTGACAAAAAGTTTAAAGAAGATTATTACACAGCAGTTATTGGAATTGTTACAAATGGCATGTATGTGGGGGTCACATAAATATTTGAGAACTCTTCAGGGGTAGCAAATGTAAAAATGTTATAAAACTTTCTAGTTGGATATATATATATAAAAAAAAA